TCTTTAGCTTCAAGATGGGCTCAATGTCCTATTGCACCTTGCTATACTGAAAAGAACTTTGTAAAACTCTCTTCTTGAGACAAGAAGGAACCAACCTTTTATCTCCTAGGGCCAGAGGAAGAACATTTTATTGCCAAAGTGAGTTCTTACAACAGTGATCTCTGGAAAGAATGGAAAAGGTGGATTGAAGGTGAGGGAGAGCAATGTAGCCTTTGCAGTTGTTCTGAAGGCACTTGGGTCCAAGCCCAAATGAACCTCATCCATTTGACTACTAAAGAGTACAGGAAGGGAAATGAAACATGGTGAGAAATGGGTCAGGCCCACCTGTCCAAAAGTGTTGATCGAAGGATAAGAACTAAGAAGTATCCAGGAAAGAACATCATGCTTGTGTCACTAAAACACCTTAAGGATTCATGCAACCTAGTAAGGCCTGTGATCATGACCATGTAGCAAGTGACTGCATTTTTAAAGACAGTGCAAAAAATATATGATAAAATGTCTTGGTTCTAAGAGTTGATATAAAGAGTAGCCAAAGAGCCAAGCATTACCTTTGATTAGCAGATGAGGACTTCTGGAATCTCAAGACTAGACAGTTCTGCAGTTCTGATTCCTCAAAAAGGAAGTTCTCAGCTGCCTGTCACATCTTTGCAAGCCATTGACTTATTTGTAATGAGGCAGCCCAATGGCATAACTGATGTTATAAAACCTATTTTTGTGTCCACAGTACCAAGTTCTATGTAGAAGAAAGCTTAAAGATATCAACAGACAACTGCTCTATAAAACCCCTGTAGTCTTTTCTAGCAAAAGGCTGTGCCGAAGAAGAGAGTAATACTCAGCCAGTGAGACTTGATAATTTACATTATATATAATGATAAAGTGCCAGACTACTGGATGGCTCATCTTTACAGTTGTCGACTGTGGGGCTATTGAACTTATAAATTCTATCCAGGGCTGCAATAGCAAAAAGAGATTTGAAAACTGGGTACATGAATAAAAGCAACTTCCACTGCTGAAGATGTGACACTGAGCAAAATAGTTTGAGGATCTGTGTATTAGTAGGACTGAGTGGAAATTTGGCACTTCTGTTGCGTGCCCACATTAGAATGGGTTTCATCCACGCAGGCAAGGCATGATATACTGTGTTTCAAACTTATGCTGGATTTAGACTGAACAATACGTAAAATGCATTAGCACTCTCCTCTGATCAGGTAGGGCAGTCTCATGCTATCGCAAGAAAAACAGTCCTGGAAAATAGATTCGCAAGGAAAAGAAGGTGAATAAAGTTGGGAGGTGTCTGTGACTTCTAAGAAATACACTGAAGAAGTTTTCAGAAAAAAATTGTGTTGTACCATACAAAACAGAGATTTGAATATAATTTTAAGAGCTGAAGCCAGTGCTCAACTAACTGCAAGGTAAACTATGCCAGATGTCTAAGACCTGAAGACATTGGTTGTGCACTACCTACTTATAGTAAGTGCAGGCTGTTTGCAAGAAGGTGGATGTATATGCAGCTTATGGGCAATAGTAAGCAGCTTTGGTTTTAAATGCTTGGACGTGTGCACTTTTGTAGGATGAATGTGCTCTTTCCTTCCTAAGCTACAGAGCATACATGTCTCAACATCCAGCTTATAGCACCCACCACAGAACTCTGGCAGCTGGCAGAACCTCACCAGAAGCCCACCTGGAGTACAGTTAAGGCTGCACTCCTTCCCAATCTACAATGGCAACGGCCGAGGGGAAAGTGAAGAAAATGGACATGAGCTGTAGGAACAGCAATATGGTGCAACATTCCCCTGTCTGAGAAAAGCCATTCAGTGCCATCGCTTTAATGAGAGAGCTGTCTCCTCTGAATGCAAGAGTTTTTCTCTGAAGAGGGGGGATAAAGGACAGAGAGAAGCGTTCAGGGTCTTTCTGAACATTATGAAAAAAGTTGGATGAAAATTCCTAGGAATCAATGGATGGCTTTAAAGGAAGGTTTCTTGTAGATTGAATCATAGAATGGTTTGGGGTGGAAGGGACCTTAAAATTCATCTAGATCCAACCCCCCTGCCATGGGCAGGGACACCTTCCACTAGACCAGGTTGCTCCAAGCCTCATCCAGCCTGGCCTTGAACACTTCCAGGGATGGGGCATCCACAGCTTCTCTGGGCAACTTGTCCCAGTGCCTCCCCACCCTCTCTGGGAAGAATTTCTTCCTGATATCTCATCTAAATCTTCCTGCTTTCCACTTAAAGCCGTTACCCCTTGTCCAGTCAAGATCATCAGAGAAGATTAGTTTCTTGTCTGCCCCACATGATCTAGACAAAAATGCGTCTAACAGGAAGGAAGTGTATTTATCTATTGTTCCCTCTTTCAGGTTTATCCACAAGTCACCAGACCACACCATGACTAGGACACAGGCCCCTGAAGGCAGTTTGAGCTACAGAACTGGCCAGCCTTGCTGTGGCAAAATGAGTGGCATAAGCAGTCATGTCTGACAGCAGTTCTGTGCTCCTAAAGTAATCTCATGCAAGCTTATTCTTAGCCTTGGCTGATACTAAGGGTTACATAGATCATAGCCATTTTAATAGCATGCAGCAAATGACAGGGGACTAGAAATAATCGTCTCAGGGCTTGCAATTGAAAGCATCTTTCATCAGACTACTAAAATTACAGAAAGTCATCTACTTTTCCTACTCTCCCAAGACTGCCTGCAGGAGGGTCAAAAAAACCACAGTGCATTTACAAAAACTGGTAACAAAGTTTCCTGAGGACCATTCCAGTTCTTTCTAAAACAACTGGTTAGAAAGCATCTGAAGACATGGGATTTCAAGCAAATGCCACTATGCTTTTGAAATGTAGTAAGACTCCATTAAAAAAAGAAATTGTGGATTTTCTGAGCATCAGAAATCAGTAGAAATAAACAAGCAGAAAACTCCCTAAGTAATAAGCCACCCACTCAGATCTCACTAATTACTTTTCTTTTCGGCTCTAGTTAATGTTTTTCTAAGGAATTAGTTGTTCAAACACAGCCCGTCCATAAACGCTCAGCTCTTGGTGGATACCTGCTAATACAGGAGGTACTGAAGAGTTAAACAAGGTATTTTGCAAACTGGATTTTTAACTATCTCCCTTAACCTATTTCTAGAGTCTATGTTCAGCTTGGAACTTGCAGACTTGGTGTAACCAAGAAGCTTGTTGCTAATTGCAACTTTTTAATTCGATTTGCCTGGACTGTTATAAGCAGTATGAGCTCATTTTCAGGTTGGGTAATTACTTTTATGAGAGGGTGAGGCAGCAACACAGTGCACTATGTTGCTCAGTGCCTCTAAACCATATTTTACATACTGTTAGTGGCTGGGCAAACTCACCATTTAGACCTGGAGGACTGGATTTTCTAGAGGTCTACAGGCCCTTTGTGCTTTTTTTCCCCGACTTCCTCTAAGATTATGAGTCTTACTGAAATTAGAGCTAAAAGAGTAAATAGCACCTTTAGAAAGAAAGATGAGCTGACTCATAGCTTTTGTTAAATTAAACAGCACATCATTAAATAATAAGTTGATACAGGTCACTTGCTAGGTCTGCAAACTACTTGCAAATTAACAATCGTAGATAACCTAAAAATAAAGGAATGCATCCCCAAGTTTTCACATGAGGGAAAATTTTTTACCTCAATATTATCATCTAATACCTTTTTAGATTTATAGCACCGTGCCGTTTCCTACACAGTGGCTGTATGCTGGCCTACAGTTAAGTGGGTGGCTTGTCACGGGTGACAAGATACAAGTGATATGGAAACTTTATAAATATCGTCACCTACTGCAACAATTAGCAAGAAAGTTAACCAAATATTCAAAGTAAGGTTTCTGGTATCCTAGAGGTGGTCCATCCAGACAGGTGTGGATGCTTATAGCCAGAGCTGAGTTTGCCAAGAGCTAGCAGAACAGAGTCTGCAATGGACTCAGTGGTTTTAAGAAATTAAATAGTGACCAGGAGGGAAGAGAGCAGAATCTTGCCCTGCCAGAATCTCTTCTGTGGGTGAAGAATCCCTGTCTTGTAAATTGTTTGTTGGGTACATCTCACCAATGCTCACTATGTTTAAAACCTAGTGGAGATAATTACGTGTGGTAAGTAGGGCATCAGAATGGAAAATACAGGGTAATAAACCACCTGAAACCCTCCAAACTTCTGGCATCATTCACCAGTCTGTGCTACCCTGTGCTCTTTGTTACACGAAAGGAGTCTGGCAGAGGTCCAGCCACCCTACCCTTTCTGTTCCCAAAAGGTCATCCTCACCAATGGCCTTAAAAGTAACATGAGGACCACAAGCACAACAGTGTACAATGAGTTAAACTGAGAGCAGAAGCTAAAGAATTATCTTCATTGTTCAAAGCACTTCCTCATCTTCTCAGGCTCCAACCCAGAGAAACAAGCCATGCTTCAGTCTTGAAAGAAGAACATACAGAAGCTCGCTAGTCACTAGGGAAAGATTACTAACATAGCTGCACTGAGGAAATAAATGACTGTATAGTCATAATATTTACATTTCAATGAAAAGTACTGCACATTTTAAGTAGGCAAATACAGTTGTTCATTTAACACCACATAAGTAATAGAACATTGTTTTATCATCTTCATCATCCACTTTTAAGTCAATAGGCAGGTCTGCAACATGAGATTTTTCAGGAATCCTACAGCAGCACACACACACCAACGCACACAAATCACATGTAAGAAGTAGCTTGCATAAGGTAAGTAAGGTTAATGGCAAAAGCTTCTTTCTATGCAGAGGAAACTGAACATTACAGCTGTAGTATTAGGGAAAAAAAAAAGAAATGAAGTCTTACAACAGATGAGAACTTAACAAAATTGGTGACCTTTCCACACAGATGAAGTCAGGTTAAAAAAACCAAACCAAACCAAAACCAAAGGGACCAAATGAGACCAAAAGAGAACCTCCCTCCCACACACATACAGACAAAAGTGAGAGCACAACAAAGGAAGTGGAAGAAAAGTGTTACCCATAAGTAGCCGCCGTTTCACCCGCTTGTCCACATCAGCTACTGACGTGGCATTGTACTCAGAACTCTCAATTGCAGCCTCATCCTTCTCTAAAACACAAGTAAGGGACAAACATGGAGCAGTTGGTTAATCACAAGCCCAATTTTCCACTGCCTAAGACAGTTTCTTGGCATGGCACAGCCAAAGCCAAGAAGCAAGGCATGAAAGCACTAAATCCCCGTTAGAGAGTTAATTCCCTTTGAGACCCCGGGAAAAAATCATAAGGTTGCTTAGGGAAAGGAGGAAAAAAGAGGGGGAGGAAGAAGAATGATCAACTGTGAAGTAGTTAACCACACAGAGGAAGCTGGATTCCTACTGGAGAACAAGACAGCTAACATGAGTGCCCCAGAGAGGTGTTAATGATGAAAATTAAAATCCAGGGATGCTAGTTCAACAAACTACCAAGGATGAACTGTGAAGTGATTCAGGCTAATGATGGCACCAGGTTCTGAAGGTGGCAGGCAGAAGACCGAGACAGAGAGAGAGAGCCAGAAGAGTCCGGTGATGGATGGGCACGGATGCACCATAGTCTCGTACACATTGACACATCGTGAAGGAGAAAACAAACAACAGCATGCAAATTAAACAAAAACCAACCACAAAAATAAACAAACAACAAACCAAACAAACACAAAAAAAGTTCAATTTGGGCAGTGCTGGTTGCCTGCTTGTCTATGAAACACTACTAGCTAAACATTCAATGCTAAGAAAGATGTTGCAAGAAGAGGGTTTAGTAATTTTACAAGCATGCAGTAAGCAAGATGACATCAGCAAAGGTTTTTTACAAGGTAGTCTCTGCTATCCTACATGTAAGAGTTTCATACAGCATAAGGAGGACTTTAGTTTGGTTAGGCGTCATTAGAAATACACAGAAACAGTCACAAGTGTGGGAAGAGATGATCAGTAAGTGAAATAAAAATAAAGATTTCTGATACAGGAGAGCAATGGAGAAGCAGCAGTTGGGTAAATAAAATGATTGATACAGAGAGCAAACGCTTATTAGGAAAACAAAAACCAAAATGCAAGTGGGGACTTTCACATGCAGCAAACAAACAAAAAAAAAAAGGATAAGTCAAGCAAACGAAGACAAAAATGTTAGACAAAGGGTCAACAGGTATTTATCTGGCATTGCAGAAGTTTGCATTCTTGCAGTGATGCCTGGAATATATACACCACTGAAGACAGCAAACACTGGAATCACTGGAGTGAGGAGGAGGAGGAGGCTGGCAGGTTTTGTTTGTGGCAACACTACATGGTTGAGTGGTAACAAGAAGTCGTTTTGTTTTGGTTTTAACAAGTTCTAGATGGGATCAGGCTGCAATAGAGGCTTTTGTTTGAGTTTTGCTTTTTTTTTTTTTTTTTTATTTTGCTCTGTAAATAATTAATAAACGTCAGTTATCAGACAAGACAGGCAATCAGGAACCATCACCAGAAAGCAGGAATAAAAATGTAAAAAATAAATAAAAAATAAATTAAAAGTATTCTAAGAGAAAGAACTACTTAGAAGGAAGAAAATCAGCACAGGCAGTAATATGTGACTTACATCACAAGACCAAGGAATGTAACATGGAGTTGTATGTATTACATTGCAAAAATGGGAAAAAAAAACCAAAACAGGTGCAGTGTACACAGCTTTTAAAATCATTTTTACATGCTGGACAAAATAAAACATCAATCCAAGAATATTAGTGAATGCTAATAAACAGAAGATCAATTAGCCATTCAATAAAACCTGCTCTCACGGCCCCCACTCTTGCAGATTCTCTGCATCTGGAACTGCCACAGGCTTCAGGGGGGGTCATTTAAACAGAGGGACGGTACGACGGGGCCCTCTGTGTTCATCAACTGTACGAGCTGAGAGATCCCCTAAGCTGAGACATACCTTGTGTACACAGAGGCAGAGTCCGGCGCTGAACCTTGTTCAGCTCTACCTCTGCCAGCATAACCCTCACCCCACCACATCCTTTGTGCAACCAAACCCATCGGAGGTGAGGGAGGCTCTGGGCAGCCACGGAGATTTATGCCATGGATCTGACCAAGGGACCGCTAAAGAGAACTGACAGATTTCCATGGGTTCCAAGTGTTCTGTCTTGCAGTATTGATAAAGGAGAGAAAAGATAACAAATATGTGCCCCTTCTTTTTTTAACCTCAGGAAATGACTAAGAATTTGTAAGGATTTGAAATTAAACAAACAAAAAAAGTCAACATGACCACAGTGCTCATGAAAACTATTATGGATTTTAGGTTCTGATCTGTCAGTAAGAATTTCCAAATTTTAACTTGCAGAATGCAAAAATATAATTTTTTTTAAATAAAAAAAAAACCAAACCAACAACCAAACCCAACCAAACCAAAACAAAAACAAGTGGAAAGAAACGGTGTTAAGCAAATAATTCATTTTAAAATCAAAAATGTTTGCATAACATCTCCCAAGATGCTTCATCTCTCGAAGGCTTTTTCCCACTGATAATCTGAGTGAAAGCTTATTCACTAAAAGTGCTGTAATTTTTAGAATCATGAAACATACAACAGGGAAGAAAGCACATCGTGGTGATTAATTTTTCCCGATAACAGCTTTAGAAAATAGGATCGTTTTCCTCACCTTGCTTATGCAAGGAAGGCTTGACTCATGAAAGTGAATGGCAGAGCTGAATTTTCATTCATAATTATTAATTTTCTACGCCTTTTCACTTAAAAATAATTATTAGAGTTACAAGAAGAAATAGAGGTTGCAAAGGAGGAACGAAAGGATATTTCATTAGCAAACATTTTGACAAAACACGCACAAACGCTTCTCTCTCTGTATAGCGTGACCTTAGTAGCTACTACGGCCAGGAACTGCTGTTACACCCTCCTCTCCGCAGTGGTGCTAAACGCCTGCGAGTACAAACACACACGCGCAAACACACACACACAGAGGTGCACATGTATATTCTATGAGGAATACGAATAAAACGTGCTGCAGAGAAGTACTTACCAATGCAGGTTCGGCCATCTGAATGCAGGGCATACTTCTGATGACAACCACACACAGGGCCAGTATCTGTGTCATCACAGGTGTGCTGGCAGCCTCCATTCCCATAGTTACAGGTTACTAGTTAAGCCCCAAATGAATGTGTATATATGTATATATAAATAAAATGACAATGAAATCAATTAGTCTTGAGGGTCTTTCAGAATAGAGAAGAGCAGTAACAAACCAAGAAAGACATAAGGCAACATCATATTTGTATTTGCAGTTATTTGCATTTCTTAGTCTTTCTCGCCCCGCTTAGCCACGCTCCTGTCTCACGCCCTACTCCCAACCCATGCAGAGAAGAAAAAAAGGAAAACAATAAGCATGTGTTACGTTTCCCCAGTCTATTTCCATTTATAATTCTAGTATGAGTGTTTAGCCAGGTCCATCTCTTCCTAAAAGCTACATGCTGCATGTCCATGATGTACACGGCATGAAGAAATGAGCAGTCAGACGTATATTTTCAAGTCTACGGACAGCATTTCTCTTTTCCTTCCCTTCATTTTCTAAGTAGAGGAAGTAGAGACCAAAAAGCAAGATCAGAACCATATATGTCTTGAAATTTGTAATTTCAAGTACTGGTCTTTGAAAAATAAAAGAGAAAACATGTTTTATTTTCTTTTCTTCTCTGACACAAAAAATACGTGGTTGTTATGGCCCTGCAGTGTGCTGGACTCAACTAGGAAGGAAATATTGGAGATGACACTTTCACTTTCAAGCATACAGTGCTAAATGGCTTTTAGCAATTAGAATGTCGTCTGGTGAAAAAAATCCTAAGCATTCATTAAACTAAACATTTTTCATGACAGGTAGAGTTTTGAAGTTTACATGAATTAATAGAGCAAGTTCAATTTCCTTTGTCACATAATGGATTTAATTTCTGACTATTAAGGTAAATCAGTTTTTAAATGTTAAGCTGGCTAGCACCATTAAAAATGCCCTTACTTTGCCCCTGTTCCATTAAATCCTTTGCAGTCACACAGCTTGATGCTGAGTAACAATTCTGATCCGACTGAATTCCAAATTCAATCTACTGTCGTTATATACAGGTAATTTGGACCGGGTTCTTTATTTGTATATACACACGGTTCTTTATTTGTATATACACACTGGCAGATACTGGGGAAGTCCAATATACCATTATTCAGTTATATCATACTCATTTCAGAGGACTTGGGTGTCCTGAAATGTTACAGTAATTCAGATGTTGACTGCAGTAATTTAAATACTGACTCGCACTAATCAGAAGGAACTTCCTCACATTGGTTTTACCAGAATTTTCCTTCTAGACAAGAGAGTTTATGAAAGAGCCAGGGGGTAGCAAAATGCAATACACAGTAAAACCAAGGTAACGGTTAACAGGATTTTAAAATCTAAACTGAGGTTCTACCTAATCCAATAGGACTAAGCTCATATAATTTCCCACTGGCCTCAGTGACCCTGCTTTAACGCTAGCTTCTTCAAATGGAGTAGACTGGAATTTGCCATCACAGTAATGAGAACTGAAATGTCCCACCCCCGGTGTGAGTGTCCCAGTGCTGAACACTCATGCCACTCTCAGCTATCATTTAAGTATTTTGCTGAAAATGGAACATTTCTAAGAAAAACAACTGAGCACCAGAGCATACCCAACAGAATTCGCATTAAAACCTCCTGCCAGTGTGGGAACTGCGAGGTTACATCCCCGGTCTCTGAAGTCTGGCAAAGATGACCGCAGGAACCGTCCATCTCCCGGGTGAGTACAGACCAGAGGCCACTATGGGTGCCAGCATCCTTGGGCCTTCACATGGTACATCTTTAATAGAATCCCTTTGTTGTTCAGAGATAGCGGGGGAAGAGCCTCATGGCCTAGTTTTAAGAACAACCCCCGAGAAGAGCGCCTGCCTGGCTTCCCACCTCTACTCCCAGGAATATCATTGTTTTATCCAATTGGAAAAAACAAATCTGTGAGAAAGGTGGCGAGCAGCATGGTCCACATTCCCTTATTGGAGCTTGACAGTTTGGGCACTTAGGCTGGAAAATGGGAATTGTGGGTTCAGTCCCACCAGACAGAGGAGGGAATTAACTCAAATACCGCAAGTAATAAGAATCCTAAACTTGCAAGGAATTACATTAAAAAAGCCCCCTAAGCAACAACCACCCTCGGGCATTCTTCCTCCTTCTCTAGTTTTATAATTCAGGTATTAATTCCTTTTTGGGAAAAAATGCATGAAGGAAACTGGATTTGCATCAGATGGAAGCAACATCTCACTTCCTTCAATACAGAATAACATTTTAGCTTTTATTTTTGATGCAACACAAATTAAAATTTTACGTCAATTCTCCATTCTTAAACCTCCCACCTTTTCAGTGCTGTCATGTTAAAAAAGGTCGTTTCTTTGCTCAAGACTAGACCTGTCCTTGTTCACTTCTTTTTGCCCATTGTCTGATTTGCAATATTTTGCCACATATGTGTGCAAGAGCAACTTCTTGGTTAATCTGGAGGTAGATGAAATACTGTTTTGCAGCTTGACTGAGAGCTAGAGGAAGAGACAGAGGTGGTTTGAATCTGCTCTCTGCTGTCTGACTGCAAACATGAGCTTTCTTCTTGCCAGCTGTGCCCGGGATATGATCAAGCAGGGGCAGCAAGCGGTATAGAAGGCAGCTCCTTGCAACATCCACAGTTTTGGGCACACACTGGCAAAGCTAATCCAGGTAAAATAATTTCCATCTACCTATCCTCTCATCCTGCTTGACCCCGTATGCCTCTTGGATTACATGGAGGTTCATTCAATGTTTCTATCCCTGTTCGACTGCAGTGCCAAATTAACTTAAAGGTGTTGTTTATTCCAGATGTTTAAATACATTTCTAGCCAACAATATTTTTATTAAGGATTTTAAATTGTGATCGTCAACGAAGTGTGTATTTTAAACAACTTGACTGCAGTGGTTTTTTTTGGTATTCTTTGCTGAAAGCCTCTGCTGGCAGAGATGAAAATATCTTAACATGGTTTCTCTGATCCGTGGAATATGAGGGACTTTTCCTTACTATATTTTCCTATGAAAAATAGTAGATCCTGCAGAATCACACACTTCTTTTATAGTTTCCCCGTATACTAAAGTTATTGGTTCCTGATCTACCCAGTCAAGGAACACAGATGTAGGTCAGTTCCTTTTCCTGGCTCTTATAAATACTAGTAAGTCATGTTTTTGAAGGATTTGAATTTCTGTCTAGACTACGAAATATTTATTTATTTATTTTAAGCAACCTGAGCCAAAATTCTGCAGTTTGACAGCTCTATAAGTGAAATTGGTACAAAATCCAGTTGTAAAATATGTCATTTCAGTTTCCTTCCAGCCTTAATTCTGTGGCTGTGACACACTGTGAAGTTTCTCTTGCTTAGAGGAAGGAAACCAAAATTATTTAAAAGCAAAGGGACATCCAGATGTACTCCATTTTTGTCAGAAAGCATTAAAGTAAAAATCTCAAAGTGTTCTTTTAAAAATTAATTATGATAAACTTGGACTCTACAGCCCTGCAAAAGATTGTGGGCTTATTCAGACTCTGTGACATTACAAAGGCAAACAAAAAGAGGCAAAATGGTAACTTCTGATAGACACAGAGCACCTTCAAATATTAAAAATTATGTTACAATAAAAGGCATGGAAAATAGTAAGTAATTTTTTTTTTTCCTTAACCAGAGCAGAATATACACATATCTGTCAGAACTCAGATATACTTAACCCCACAGAGAAGGCATAAACCAGAGCGAGACCATTGCTTTTGACACTGCTTCAGCATGCACTGTATGCCTTAAGCACCAAAATGCTGGGCTCTTTCACTTAGTGGGAGAAATACCCTGTACGACTGGCTAAAACCAGCATCTCACAGAGAAGGCTGTGCTCGTGCTGGCTACAAACACAAGCAGAAACAGCACATAAGCCCTACAAAGATGCACACCATCAATGTGGGGTGTCTGCTGCTGGTGGCCAAGTTTCCAGTCTGTTTTCCCAACTCAGGTTCTAATGTGAATGAAGAGCTACGGGGCATCCCGAGCTGAAGCCCTGACACTGGTGTTTCAAACAGCTTTCCGCCTTCTTCCCGCTGACTATACTGCTCAGGTTCCTAAACTGGCCAGCCACCTTCCAGGGCCGGCAGCGTGGCATGATCTCCCTTGTTGTCGAGGCAGAAACACCTCTTCGTTTTGGCTGGGCTGAGCTAAGCATCCCTGAGACACAGGTCTGCATGTGGGCAGGTGATTGCATCCACAGAGATACATGCACTAGTCTTGAAATGACATCTTGATGATGAAAGACAAGAAACAACTGTTTGGAACAGGAATGACAACTTAATGAACAAAAGGGATTTTAATGTACTTATTCCACTAAACAATGATGTTGATGTTCCATGCTAAAACCCCCAGAAGACAGAAATACAGAATTCAGCCTCACTCTACAGGCTAAATGCTGCTTTCAGTGCTTCTCTGAACTTTAACATAATTCTTTTCTCTGGTCTCTTCCATCTGACATGCCCATGAGAAGCAGTAATTGAAAATATATGGCCAAATATTAAATCTAGCATTTAGTACCCACCAACCCAAAAGATCCCCTAAGACAATGATGCCTTGATCTCGTCCGCATGTGGATGGAAGGATAAACTATGGCTCAGACGCCACAGAATTTGCAACAAGCCAGATCTTTTGGTTTTGTAGCACGACTTTCTGTGGCAGTTTGAACCAGCACACTGTAATTCCAGATAAATTGAAAACTGCACTGTTTTTTAACAAAATTGGCCTTTAAATATATAATTCATAGAAATTTCTAGGCATTTCTTTCCTTGTGACAAAGCCGTGCATGCCACACTGCTTGCATTACTTATTCTATTATGGCCTTACGTGTTTATCACTCAGGAGGTCTTTGTGCAGACAGCAAATAGGTGCATGAGAACACTGTCAGCAGGAGCTGAAAAGCTGCCACTTAGCATAGGCGGGACAGCATTTTATAGTAAACATACGAGGCAGGATTTTCAGCACTACTTAGCGCTAGGCCTCTTGGTCACTGCAACCATTATTATTGGAGTGGGCAGATAGAAACTGCTGTGGTTAAGGTTATCCGGCATTTTTCATTAAAAGATTTAGGTTTCACTTGTTTAGAAATCTGTCAGAATTATTTCTTTTGTGGTAGCAACTTGTAGGTATGTGTATCTGCTTTAGGTTTCTTCTTACTTTTTCAAGTTCCAGCTAAACTGATCCAGATAATAATGGGATTAACAAAAAAATGTCTTGGTTTGTTCATGTCTAAGGAAAAAAACCTTCAGTTTATCAGCATTTTCTAACACAATCATGCTCAGGAGCAGGCTCTTAAAATCTGTCATGGACACTTACCTCGAAAGAGGAGGTAATTTCCCATGTTCTTCCACTGTAATCTGGAACTGAATTCACTATCCCTATGTTACTCTGATCTATGAAAATCACTGACAAAGTGTGTTCTTCTAATGACTTGTGTACACAGAAGATGGTAGTTTACTGCTGTTTTGTACCTAAAGGATGCAGCTCTTCTGAGGAATTATGTATGAATCCATATGATTGTTTGGTGTATTCCTAGACGACATCTTGATGTCCCTTCCAGGCTCAATGCTGCTGTGATTTCCTAGCGTGATGGGCAAGACTATTTTTTCCTTTGTGGTAACCGAGAAATGACGTGTTTGAAACTTAGACTAAGAAACCATTACGTTTGCAATATTAAGCACTCAAAACTTACAAAATACCAGACTTCTGGCACATAGACTTACTTATTCTATCCTGAAAACCATCCTTAGTGACAGATGCAGAAAACACTCGTGTCTTATTCAGTGCCCAGTGGAGCTGGGGAAAGTCAGCTCTGTGGAAACAGCTGGAGACTCTTGTCTCTGCTGCAGAATGAGTAGTAAATCAAAAAGGGACTGTCAAGAAAGGATGGTCTTGTCCAGAGAGTGAACAGAGTCCTAAAAAACTCTAATCTGTCCCTACCATGGAATTCCAGCTTAGGGCTTGGCAAATCACTTGAATCACACTTCTTTCAAGTTACTAATATTATATTCCTTTCACCATGGCATTTGCAACTACGGCTGGAGTCACTGGGGGCTTGACTTGGGTCATACTGAAGTGCTACAAATGCTGAGCGGGGTTCTGGGTGTTTCTTGTCAATCACCTATCATTACTGAATGCCTTTGTCATTAACATCTTTATATTCATTCCCCATTTGTAAGATAGGCAAACCAGTACTTTTTAACTTGACAAGAAGGTTCTGAAAATACATTACCAATGCCTACAACGCACTTTGATACTACAGTAGTGAGTATCATGGGAAAAGAGTCTGAGGAAACTGAAAATGTTCTGTTCGCAATAGGGTTTAAATACTGTGCAGCAGGAAAGGCATGACACTGAATTATGGAGAGGAAGCTACTGAACAAAACCCTGTTTAATGAGCACTGACCATCACGTACCCTGAATGAAGCAAGACATCAGCAGTGACTGCCTTATTAGCATGTGATGATAGGATCAGGTGATCGTGTAATTAGGATGTAATGACAATCTTGCAATGCATGTATAAAGAGCAGGGTGTCTCCCTCCAATTTTTAATGCTTTCTAACTTATTTTAACATCTCTTTTTTCTTTAAGGAACATGTCTCATTACTAATGGACTTGGGCCAATACATCTGAAAACCTCTCCCAGTATTCTGACTCAGTTGCAAAAAGGCTGAAAAATTCTCTTTGTGAGGTACTGGTTCTCTGCCACTTGTTCACATTAAAAAAAAACAATACAGAGAAGTAAGCTCTGACAAACCCTGAAAGGCAAAGTTTCCTGGAGGGACCACGACAAATCAGAATAATTGAGAGAGATACAAGGATACACTAGGGGCATATCAGCCCCTACCAGTATATGGGGCTACAGACCCAGTCCAGGCTGTCAAGGGCCAAGCGTCTCTTTTTCAGCCCTTCCAACATAGCTGTACTCAGTACTTGCAAAGCTGCAGCTCAAGATTTAAGCCAATTCCACTGAAATGGTTAGCTGTGCAAAGCCGAGATTTAGTTTCCAAACTAGACCTTTATAAATAGCTTGCTCTAATCTCACAATTAGTGTCCCAGGGTATCTGGCTCCAGCTTTATACTTCTTTGAGTTAGGAAGGGCTGGAAGTACAGTTATTTTAAATAAGAGTTTGGAACATATTTGCAGAATGTGCTGTGGGTTTAGGGGTCGATGTACTCTGCAGCAAGCTCTGCGGCCTTGAAAGACTCAGCATCCCTACTTAGAGGTCTGTCAGCAAAAGTTCATTATACTTTCAAATACAATCTGAACACCACAGGGCACAGAATAAAGTCAAGTTTTGCATTCTATTAAACCTTGAGGCATTTAGTAATATTGTTCTAGAAAAGGCTCTAATCCTCCTGTTACCATCTCACTATGAAAAAGGATAACGCAGTTCCTAAGGAATGTACAAATTTGTGGAAACAAATAATAAACAACATAAATAAACATCCTCTCCTGCTTTACCAATGTAGATGATGTTGCACTGCAATTAACAGCACGCAATGTTCACATCTAATAAACACTGAGAATAAAAAATACCATAAAGGCAATTTTTCTCTGTGCATTTCCTTTTGGCCCTGTGTAGCCTCTTCATACTGAGGAGCAAAAAAGCTGTACAGTATACTGTGGCATTTCTTGATGGTATTCAAAAGTGATTATTTTGACTTTGTACTTGGGAACTAACAAAATCTAAGCATGTTTACACGTTGGAGATGTCAGGAAGAAAAAAGTTGTAGTGGAAGAAAGATTATCACAGACATACTGGCCCTGTGCAAAGCACAAAACATGTTTCATGTTGGTTTATTGAATTTCCTTTTTTTTTGTGCTGCAAAGCTATCAAGTGGGAAAGCAAGATATTGGAGTCAGATCTCACACTCACTGAAGCCATCAGAAAGACTCCCATGCAATTTGGAAGCTTTCAGATGATGGTCCTGACTTTCAGAGGGTCAATTATTTTACCCTGTACAGAACAATTTCCAGTTCTGTGGGCTAATGAATATCTGTATCTTCAGCATCCCAGCTTTGAGAATACATCACTCAGGATTTTCTCTGAAGAAGAGTATATATCATACAGCTGCATGTTTTCCAAGTAACAAGAAAAGTAGACTGTGTGCAGTGGAATCAGGACTATAGCAAACATTTCTCTCTTGCAACAGATGAATTAACATTATTAATTTGACAGCTGCAGTGGCTCTATCATTAAATCCATTACTAGATTTATCAATGCATCTATCATTGTGGATCTTCAAAATATTGCAAGCCAGAACCCTCTATGCTTTATTTGTTTTGTTTTACAAGGAAAGTCTGAATTAAACTGATCCCTCACTTTTCTGCATTCATAGGCAGGGGGAAAATTTGCTACCGTTTTGCTAGCAGAGTCACTGCCAACATTCTGCTATTCAATCCCTCTTATCTATACCCAAGTGCACCTTCTACAGCAAAAAACACATGACTAAAATTACAAATCACCTTTGGCCAAAACCCAGTTGATTTCTTGGCTTCTGGAAAATAACAACAATGAAGAAAATAAGACATTTTGGGGCATTTGAAATTTAATCTTCATCTACCTACATTTGCAGTCCTTCTGGTTTTTGGCAAGTTCAAAGCCAGGCCTACATTCACAGGCAACCCCACCTTTGGGCGTCTCCCGGCAGATATGTGCACACCCATGATCTTTGTTCATACAGTTCATACCCTCTGTAAAAAAAAAAAAAAGAAGAAAAATGGAAAATATTAGTAATGAAATAAAATTACAAAATAACTATACACATCCGGTCCTCCGGTAATTTTAATTGTAATTTTTATTTTGCATCTGGACTGTGTTCCACAAGGCAGAAGAATGCAGCTGATATATAATCAACAAAGTGTAATAAAGAACAGACCTCCTTTGGGGCAGATACAGTAAGTACTACGGTGGAATATAGGGTGTCTCTGCTGCCTGTAGAAACCCAGGACTTGTGATTTCTTTGTTCCATATCCATATTCTCATCTTTCATGAAAATATCATGGATTTAAAGGATATTCTAGGAAGCTGTCTGGCCCACAGGTGATTATTAGGGTTGAATAACTGAGCTCACTGTTATTTTTTCCTTCTATAAATATAAAGATTGTTACTGTCTGGTACATTTTTATTTGCTTGGTAATGTGCTTTATATTTTTTAACACACAAAATCTACCAAAGACTGTATCTAAGCATTTTTCTTGGATCTGTTCCTGTGCTATTTGTTACATATCTCAATTATCTGTGTCATCCACCACAAGCACAGCCCATCTCCAACAACCCTACTACCACTTTTCACTTTGACTATTAAACAAAACATACCAGCTGTTCAACAAACACCCAAGTAGCATGGGTGGATTCCTGTTAATGTTTATGCCAAGGAGCAGTAAGTATTAACCAGCTTTCTCTTAATCATCATGGGGCCAATTTTAGCTTTCTAAACCATGTAAGTGATTTAGATACTGAATGCACCTTATGCTCTTAGAGGCTTTCATTACCGAGTTAATTCAAATCCCACATATTCACAGGAATCTTGAACTCAGTCCTCATGGGTCAGCATCTAGCATTCCTGGTGTGAAGGAAGGCTAGCTAGATTTGCATTACAAAGCCTTCCCAGACTTCGCCTTGGGTATCTCATCTGGAAAGGAGAGACAAATTCTCTCAGAGAGCACTGACAGAGAATTCACATCGTAATCCAGCTTACTATCGTGAAAACAGCATGTATTCCCCAAAACACTGGTGCCCGCAACATCAGCGTGGGCTCATTCGTCACTCTGCGACGTGGCTACTCCTACCTATTCTAGGCAAACTTCTCAAAACGACTCCAGTGTAAAACGTTCAATTTAAACCCACAGTGACAACGCACTGCAACTAAACTTCTTCTTTCTCCAGGGCTGTTACAAAGGTTTTGCTTCCAAAGGTGAAAAAGATCACTGCCCTCCTTTGTTATCCTTACAGAAACTACACGCACGTACCCGCCACCTCTGTCATCTATGTGCGCTGCCTTGAGTCTGAGGCTGGTCTCACCCTGTCAAATGCTCGAAACCAAGTGTCAAGGCTTTGGAAGATTTTGAGCTGAAGTTTCTCTGCATACAAAGTAGTTTTTAACTGAACACAAATTAGCATATAAGAAACTTCTTGTAGAAAATTACAAGGAGGAAGTGCTACAGAAGGTCAGTCAGAGATTCCCTCGGGCTGACACAGGCTAGCAGCTTCAGAAGTTGTTTGCACTGCTCAGCTTCACCTCAGAAAGGTTTGTATTAGCAGAGCAACGAAAAACACACATCAGCGGTCACAGCGAGTGTTTTTGTTCCTCTCTCCTACAAAAAATATCAGGATCTTTAATCTCACCGCCTATGAAAACCAACATTATTGACAAGAGGTATATTTCTCTCTTCTAAATTCCCTTCGGTGTTGGCCTTGATGAGCCTGAAAACTTGCCAAAGCACAAAGTAAGTTATTCTCTGTAAACTGCAGCCTGGACGATGCTATCAGAAGATATAATCCATACTACATGCTATGCTACACCACCCTATACACCCAAGCGAGGTATGAATGTTTTGTTTGGCGGCACAGATGTAAGAAACCTGGGAACGGCCTTACTGAAGGTTTTGAGGCATTTTATAATCTCTTTCTCTCCACTTCTCCCAACAAAGGATTTCAGACACAATGTGTTCGACAAACTGCATTCATCAGAAAAGGATCTGGGAAAGATAACACATGCCTGATTGAGTCACACTGCCGAGGCAATGAGAAGAGAGGAATTAGATAGATGAAAGAAGATATTTAATGGCCCAGAAGTGTAATGAAGCAAGCAATTTTCAGTGTTTACTTATAGATACTGAATATCTGCGATTCTTAAAATCACTTGGGCAGACAGAAACTGTGCACTGCTAAAAATATTGGGAGAAATCAAAGAACAGAATTTTTACATTTTGAAACAAAAGTGAAAGCTGAAGCAGAATTTTATGCTGGTATTTGTGTCTAAGATCGCAATATTTCAGTTACTGTATTAATTATTCCAGTTATTGTATTCATCAGGTAGATGGAGCTGTAGAAGAACAATTTCATTTCCATGTTTAGCTAGAGAAGAACACTACAGAAATCTCCTAAGCCTGAAAACCGTTATTTCAGAAACATTGTTTTTCTCGTGAAATGAAAGATCACTATTTTCCATTCAAGAGCAGGAAATCATCCACTCAAACCCCCTTGTTTATGATTATAGTATCTTTCATGATCTCTAAAAATTACCAAAAAATAAAAAAAAAAAAAAAAAAAGTCTGAAATAATTATTTAAATAAAAATGCAGCAAATAAATATTTTGGGTCATTTAAAAATGTAATCTAAACCAAATTTAGGCTAATTTGCAAATAGTTTTAATAATTTCAAATTTGGATTTTTCAGCAAATACAGTATTTGGCTAAATATCTTCTGTGTCAATCTACATATACAAACATTTATGAGCCATTGTCGGTACCTAAGGTTTACTTTTTTTACAAGCTGACTCTTCAGACAATACTGAACCTCTTATGACATAGCATACAAATCCCGCTAAAAAAACCCACAAAAAATACGTTAAATATTTTTTTTGTTGCTATACAAAGGGCAACCCGAAGGGGAGGCATGAGGCATATTGCCAGACCCACCGGCAGTGCCAGGCACAGGCAGCCAGCGGGCTCCATCCCCAGGGATAGGCAAAACACAAGCCCCAGCAAAAACGCAGCGTTCCCTCACAGGTAACTGACACAATCAAGGCCAAATGGCTTGATTTGTAGAAATGTGTGGAAAACTAGTCATTCAATAAAAAACACGATCATGGAAAAATTGGGTGGGATTCTCCTGCTCATTTAAATGTGTTTGAAGTTTGTCTCTTAATCGCCATAAGCCCCACATCAACAGAGGGGCCCTAGAATGAAAAGGAGTTCTTCAGGTCTTGCTCCTTCCTAGAGCTGACCAATGTAACACAGAACCAGGGAAGAGAGGGGAAACGCCTATGGAATTATTCTAGGCTTCTCCCAAGACAGTACAGAATTATGCCCACAGCAGTTTTACTTCAGTATGTTGCATGACCTGCGCAAAAATACCAGGCAATGGATCTTCCCCCTGAGCCTTAACCAGAAAAATATTTGCAGAACTACATCTTCTACTACACAGCCATGCGGCCCCCCTCTCTCTCCCGGCATGTGCACAACGGCATCACTCTAGTTTTGAACACAGGGAGTTGTTCCTAGCTGCTGCTCTTGATTTTTGCAGTCATCTCGTCGTCCCAGCTTCTAGAACCGCTGTGGCTGTGACAAGTGAAAAAACAGTTCCCAAATCAAGGGAAAGACTAAATGTTGATAAAAGAGAAGTCTGTACACCAAAAAATCCTTACTTTATCACCGCGACACTAAATGCCCAACGCTGAATGGTTCTACCTTTTTCAGGCTAACGGTTAAAAGCAGTATCTTAATTCCATATGCGGTTACTCGAGGTGGTCTCTAAAGCCTAGCACAAATGTGGGTGCATGCTCTCTTCAGCAGGGCTGCCAGACAGTAAATAACTTTACAAACACAGACGCATTCTCAGCAAATTCACCTTACAAAAGGATAGCAAAACAGAATCCGGTGGAAAACACATGATAAACAGGAAGAGAAATGCCACTTAAGAGAGGAAAACACTAATCTAATAAAACTAAATCCTCTCTTACTGTTTTAGATATGACTTGAAAAACTCTCCTACAACATTCCTGGATTTTTTCTGACTTCCAGTTACAAAAGACTGTTCATGGGAGAGTGGCAGACATTGTTATATGACCCACAATCCACATTCATTTTTGTTCCTGGCCTAGGAGAGATTTGGGTGTGAGTCTACTATGTTAATCCAGTCTGCCATCTAGTTATCACAAACCTCCTCATCGTGCTGTTCTGCAAAATGTCCAGTCTGGTACAATGACCTCTCCATTGTACGTATGTCTAAAAATGTTTTCAGCTCAATGGCTCTGAAAGTGCTTAAATCAGGCTAACTGTGACAACTAATACACTGATCAGCCTTTATTTTTCATTAACGCTTCCGGTTCTCATCTTAATTAAGACTTCTAGCAGTTGCTTTACTCTGTGGTTCATCCTATACGCTTACGTTACCCTCTATGTTGTCATAGTTTTACTCATTCTGTATTTATATTGCTGCTGGTTTTATACCTTCCAAATAAACATGCTGATTCCAAACACAATCTGAAAAATGCTACTTTAAATTGCACCAAAGATATAGTACAGTTATAACTTTTAGATTAATGTCAGCATATGTTTGGTTGAATATGGTAAGAAGATACAAGAAATCTTGAACTTACATATACACACTGACATGCACAGTAGCACGTGCATCACGTCTCCATCCTCAAAACAAAATAATTGCATTCTCTTTTTGGTTGCTAAGTTACTTTTATCACCAGGTACACTGTGAGATCTCATTACAGTTGTACCCTTATCTAACAAAACATGAATCTTATAAAACATCATAGTCACAGAATGGTTTGGGTTGGAAGGGACCTTAAAGACCATCCAGTTCCAACCCCCCTGCCATGGGCAGGGACACCTTCCACTAGACCAGGTTGCTCCAAGCCTCATCCAGCCTGGCCTTGGACACTTCCAGGGATGGGGCATCCACAGCTTCTCTGGGCAACCTGCACCAGTGCTTCACTGGAATAATTTTAAAAATT